CCCCAAAACCCCAAAACCCCAAAACCCCAAAACCCCATTCAATTATGAACCAGTTGAATAATCTTTTAATTATAATTCACCTCAGAGGAATGGGATATACTTGTGAAGGTAGAGTGAGTCCCAATCTTTGGCAGCTTGGAGGTATATACCTGATTTGCCATCTTCATACTACTATAATATGAGATAATAGTCTACCTTAGATCTATAGTTCTGATACTAGCAGTAGTACTAGCCTTCTGTTTCATGATTTCTTTTTTATTCTTTGCATTGTATTCTTCTAAAATATTACATATTTTAATTACTTTCACTGTCAGAACAGATTATATTCCTTGGGAAATTATTAGAAAAGTCTTGGCTAACTGTCTTTGAAGCAATAAGAAGGTTGTTGCTTTGGGGTTTAACATTTCTGGTCAAATTTGAATCGATTTCTACTCTATATAAAGTATTAGCATGCATAGATCCCAGCCAGCAAGAGCTGAGCACATAGAAGAGTAGCACTTCAGTATTTATTAGAATGTATATTTACCTTTGCTGGGAATGAGACTTGATGTGCCTCTTTGCAATGCTATTTTAGCTTAGTCACTCTATTGAGAAGTGTGATGCTTGTGTATCCTACATAAATGGTTAATGCCATAAATTAGAGATTTGATTAATAATTCTGAAATTTTAGGGAGATAGGAGAAGCCATTTATAAAATAGAAGATTGTCATTGCTTAAAAGGGTAATTAACTTCAATATTAATGTGTTAGAGAAATTTTAAAACCAAAATAACTTACCTTCAGGGGTAAACTTTAGTGTAAATGGCTCAGAATTTGGTTGAAGCAATGTAGGATTTTTAGAGAAATTCTTTAGCATTGCCAAATTTTCCGGATTTTGAGTCTTGCTGAAGATTTTATTTGATTTCATGCTCTTTTTCTCGTTTTGGGGAGAATAGAAGGGCTTTCAAGTTTTATGTGCTTTTAGAGGGCTATCTGTAGTTTTCGGGATCTTTGTCTGTTTTTGAGCCTTAAACATAGACATCTCTTGGAGAAGATCTGGGGCATATTTAGTACAAATTTTTACAAGAGATTCATACTCAGACGGTACAAGATTACTATTACTCAAGATCCTCAATGTCTCACTAAGGTTCAGATCTCTCATACATAAAATAATGGACAGAATCGGTCCCACAAAGTTATTATCCTTCACATTCCTATCAAGATACGCCAATCACGCCTTGATCACCTTACTCATCGCTTTCCTATTCCTCCCTAGCACCCTCGTCTTCTTAACCATACTCGCTATGAACTCAAAGGTCGCTATCCTTCCTCTATGCGGCATCTGTGGCAACACATCCACACTGGTCAGTACAAGCAGGTCCTTATCAAAAACTTTCCTTAGCTTATCAATAAGCCTGAGGGCTGATTCCTGGACTTCCTTCTTCTTGTCAGTAAGATTATTCAGGATCTTCATGACCAGTTTGGATAAATTTAGAGCAGAGATTAAGCTATTTCGGTCAATTTGGAGCTTTTCAAGGCTGAGAAGGAGGATGTAAGTGGTGTTTTGGGATTTTTGTTTTATTTTGGAATGGGAGTCTGAGAGGAGAGGGAGGAGAATGGTGCATATCTTGTTTGTTGTTTGTTTTAGAGGTTTGGAAGATTGGGGAATGGGTTTGGAATTGGATTTTGAGCCTTTTGGTACTAAACTTGAGGGGGATTGGAAGAGTTTGGATGATGCTTTAGAGCTGGATTGGAGGGAGGAGTTATTAGGATTGGAGGGAGTGTATTGGGATTTTATGGTCTTTATGAGGTTTGAGCATACTTCGTATCGGTCTGACCATACTTTGCTTTTGGAGATGCTCTCAAGGGAGGAGAGATAGCCTAGCAAAGAGAAATTTTCTTGTAAATTTTCAGATCTCACTGCTGGTTTTAGGGATCTATTTCTTATACTGGATCTACTGTGAGACTTCAAAGAGAATCTAGCTTGTGAGGAAGCCCTTTGCAAGCCTCTACCTCTCTTAGAGACAGTACTAATATCATCTCCACAGCTGAACAGAATCTTCTGAGTACATTGCAAAATATTTTCCTTCCCTCTGCTAGGACTTTTGATGCTTATTCCAGAAGTTTTGGAAAGATTTAAGATATTGTACCTATTACCTCTTGATTTATTTACAAGTGGGGATTTCATCCTACCTCTGCTGGCTGGACGAGAGTTATTTCACTGAATCCTCTTCATAGCATAGTAACTACTCTCCTCGCCTGAGATAGCATCCTTTGGCTGAATTATACGACAAGAAACTCTTCTTGCTTTTCTTTTAGGAGAAGTTCTGATACTCAATGCTATTGTTTGAGATTTTGAAAACTCAGAAGGTACAGGCCTACTCCTGTTCTTCTTACTCTTGACTGAAGACATCTTGTTTATACTTGAGATTATTTGGGAGGGTAGTCTGTTAAAGATCTTCTCAGCATTTTGATTGTAACCAAGCTTGTATAGCTCAAATGCCTTCTTGGCATTTTTCCTGGTTTTGCTATCCGAATCGCTAGAAAATTAATACCGTTAGAATTTGAATTCTTACTTTAGTAGAAGTTCGAGTACAATATTAGTGAGCTTGAGATTGTCCTCAATCACTGACTTAGGATGTGTCTGGAGATAGATTCACAAGTATTCAGACATTCTTCAATGTACAGCAGGGTTTTTGTACGTTTGAAGGATTTGGGATACGCAAGGGATGAATTTAGTGCAGGTATTTGTTGATAAGAATCTTCTGATTCATTCATCTATGAGGCTCTAGAAGTAAGATTAAGTCTTACACTGATGGTCTTGTTGCCTGAATTTAGCTGCTTTGGAAGACATTCTGGCTCCATTAGCTTATTTATTAGTATTTCCATCTCTTTGTTTATAGAGTCATGAGTATATGTGGGCACACATTTACAAATTTTTAAAATAGTATTTCATCATTCTTTGACTATAGCTGACCTCAATTCTTGAATTTGAGTACTTATCGGCTCATAAAGATTTAAAATATTTTCCTGGATAGTCGTTGGATCTTGAGATCAGTATACTCTTATTCTTCTAAATCATTCCTTCCTCTGAATCCAATCATTTTTATTATCTTTCAGTATCGATATAATATCTACATAAAATTAACCAATTAAGCTTCCACTTAATATTTTTGACCTCTCCAAAAACCCATCAGGCTTAAAATCCAATTCCATACTCCCAAAATTCATTTACTTACTCTTAATCTGCCATCCTTTTCCACTTCCGATCTTTTCCTGATTACTATTACTCTCTTCCTTCTCACTATAATTCTGTACCGACATTTAACGTTTGAAATAATTAAATTCTAATTTTATCCTGCCTAAAAGGGGTTTTGGGGTTTTGGGGTTTTGGGGTTTTGGGGTTTTGGGGTTTTGGGG